TACCAGGTCATGCCCGTCGTGTTGTGGAGAGTGGGGACTGGGGGTTTGTGGTGATCTCGAAGGAGAGATTAAACTTAAACTTTTCGCACGGACGGGCGTGGGGTGATGTTGATTTCTGCGGGGTCTGGAACATGGGATGAACGAAATCGAGATTTGGCAGTTGCCTGGGAATGTCTTGCATGCAATGCAGCATGGTGTTGGACTCCTGGAGAGAAGGGGGTGGTAGCGGAGCTAATGGAATTGCAAGCAAGCACTTGAATCGAATCGAGTCCATTTGATCTTTGCTTCCTGATCCTGAACAATGCATTGAGATTTTTTAAATCCAAGTGCTATGAATCTTGGACAAAGAAAAGAAGGAGAAGTGAAGTAAACGCCATCATCCATCCGTGTAAAATCAAAAAGCCAAACACCCGCATGCCCGAACCAAGACCGCCCATCCAAATTTTCCTTCCTTTCCTTTCTCAGCCTTCCCAAAAAAAAAAACACCAGTGGTAGCCGCGTAGCCACCGATACATGATTCGTTAACCCGTAAGAAGAGAGATTCATTACAACAGCTCGTCGCTCCCGCTCGCAACGCTCTTTTCGATGGCATCGATAATCTCCCTCTCTTCAAAGACCGGCCCTTGCCCATCGCACTTGGCGGCCTTCTTCAACCGCTCGCTGACGTGGCCGACGTCCACCAACCCCCGGACGTACAGCGGGTGCTTGATAATGTAGTCCCACGTCGCACCGGCAGCCAGCAGCCGCTCCCCGGTATCAGAGGTCACGATCCTGTGGCTCGGCGTCTTGTTGTCGTGCGCGCGCAGCACCTCCGTGTAGAAGTCCGTCGGCGAGTAGCGCATCGGCCCGGCATTGGGCAATGGCTCTGAGCCTCCCCGATGCGGGTGTGCCGCCGTGGCCTTCAGGATCTCGTTCTCGGTGGCTGCCTTTTGTAGTTGGAGCTTGAGACGCTCGTTCTCCTCGGCAACGTTGACGGAGTCTTGTTGTAGGGCCGCGAGCTTGGCCTCGAGGTCTTTGACGTGTCGTTCTTTGCGTTCGCGGAAGGCCCGTTGTCTAGGAATTAAGTTAGCAATTGGAGATAGAAAAGAGAAAGGTTGTAAAGCAGAGATTGCGGCCCACTTACGCTGCGCGGTTCTGAGCCTTTCGCCGGGATTGTGCGGGCGTCATGTCGTCGTCGTCACTGTTGCTCCCCCTCCGATTGGAATCATCGTTCTGGTCCCCATTGTTCATCTCATAGTTGTGATTCGACGTGCTGACCGAGTCTTTGTGCTGCGAGAGCGGGCTCGGCGGCTTGACTTGAATGCCATTGCTGGCGGGGTTGTAGTGCGGGTTGAATGCATCGAAGTTCTGGAACTCGAACGCATCCTGCTTGGGGGTCAGGAAGGACTGTGAGTAGGATTGCAACGTATGAAACTGGTCACGAACAGGTGGAGAGTTGCTGAATTCATCTGAGTTCGAAGATCCGGTGTGGGCGGGTGTCGGCGGGAGGCCCAGGAACTGGTAAGGCTGCTGTGCGGCTGCGGTGAAGTAGGGATAGTCCATTGTATATACGGAGGTTAGAGCGGCGATAAGAAGAGAGGGGAGGGTGGAGAAGGAAATGCGGTATTAGTGAGGATTTGGAGATCGATGCTGGCGGCTTATAAAGCGTAGGTCTTGGTAGAAGGTAGACCGGTTTTGAGGATTGTCGTCGAAAGTTTATAGTTCGACCTCGCGGAAGTGAGTCGCGGCACTAGCCTCGACGGTCCTTGTCGATAAGCACCACAGGCCTGCGACTCCAGGATGCTGCCAAAATCGTGGTCTGTGAGCCATCCCAGGGAGAGAGAGATTGCTCGCTCCCCGTCTTCAGAGGCAGCGGCTTCACTCTGGCTCCCACACATCGTGCAAATATGCAGGGAGGGCACTGCAGGCCCGCCCAGCCCAGGAGGACAAAACCACGACAGAACCCCAGCAGTGCTCCATACATGGCCTCCCAGTTACGTGCCGTCACCTCCTGCCTCTGCCCCCCTGCCTCCGGCCCCCGGCCCCCGGGTCAGCGTTTTTCTACGACTGGTGGGCATACTCCGTACAGTACAGTAAGTACAGTAACCTTACTGTAGAATCCATCGGTACTTTCTGACTTCTGACTGCGGCTGTCAAAAGCAAAGCAACTGGTGCAACGCAAAATAGGACGGACCAGACACCCCCCTTGCCCCCCCGTTGACAGCAGGCGGCTTCGCCCTCGGATGCCCCGTTGAGCCGCTTGGCGATGCCAGTCCCGGCTTGATACCCCACGGTCCACCTCAGCTTAGCTACCTAGCTATTGCTCGTGCACGCTGCACGCTGCAGCTCACCTCAGTCAAGCTCGAGGTCGGCGACGGTCCCCGGAAGAGAGACGACGTGGGATGGAGAATCCCGGGTTCCAACTTTAAATCCCTAATCAAGGGATCTTCAGCCGTTCAGATACTTCAGTTCCTGCAGCTGCAATTGGAAGCCGACGTCTGCGTCTGCACTTGGAACGTCGCCCAGGCCGACGTGTATCGCTCATTCATCTGTTACCCGTTGTCTCACACCCAACACTTGGATTATGGAAGACGGGACGATCCTTTCCAGAACGTTATGCTTATCCTGAACGTGGTTTGTTATGGCTTGGAGGCGTCTCCGCCTGCGCCGTTGCGGTGAGAGAACCAGCTTGTGCGACGCCTGAGAGCGTGAGCAAGGTGTATATTTAGAAGGCAGTGTGGTCTGAATTAGACGCCGCGGCGCGTAAGCTGCACGGAGACATGGCTCCCCCACCAAAAGGGGCTTCCGTATGGGAGGGGGATTCACCTATATTTGTACATTTCGACATGGCTTTTCAGATGCACATTCCAAATACTTCATTACAGAAATGGGACAGTGGTGACATGGAACCGGCAGAGGTTCGATTGGCTGTCGATTTCTCCTCAGGCACATTGCGAATCATGCTGTTGCTATTTGTTGGAGGAACCCTTTGTTTGATTTGTACGATTGTGCAAGGGAAGGAAACGCTCAGCGAATGAGGAGGGCCGTCGTATTCCAAGGGAGTGGTACGAAACGGTGGGGATATATTCTGTGCCACCTGCCGCATGAAATACAATCACGTGAGGAGCACTTTATTGATAGACCTGAAGCAGGGTCTCCCGAGGTAATTTTTAGCCTAGGTTTCCGTTGAATTGACCGAGGAGCGACCGTCTATCACGGCGAGTTTGAGTTTGGACAAACTGGTCAGACGTAAATCATTCGTATTGCAAGACGAGAGTCACGTGCACCGGCATGGAGGAGACATTTGGCTTCGTTTGGTAATTCATTGGTACGGGTTTATTCGACGGACATTCGACCTCAAGCCCCGCTCAATCCCAGGAGCGGCTGTGAACCGGTACATGCCATCCAGCGATTGATTCTCCTTGGCCGGTGGCTTCCTAGCGGTTTCAAAGTACCTACACTTTTGTCCACCTTTTTTACATCTGCAGCCTCGAGGCGAAGATCTGTGCATCGCTAGCATGCATGCCTTACCTCCGGGAGGAGGGTCTTGGCGAGGTCGGGTCTCGTTTTCTATCATTCATGCCCGAACCTGGAAACAGGGGATAATGACCCGTTGTGGGTTTTGCGATCGTCTGTTTGTGTGATTCTTAGAATTTTGAGAGATTATATGGTTTGTTGGTTAAGTCTTGAGGTGAAAGCGGGGAAGTTGTCGTGGTGGTTGTTGCTATTAAAAGAGCATGATCGCCCTTGAAATAGGGGGCCAATTCAGCTGGAGCGCCAAAGCGTGGCTGCAAGTTCAAGGCGTGACTTGGGAATGGAATTTCGACGTTTTTGTAAGGCAGAGAGATTGTGTTGGTACCCAATTAGACTGTGATTACTTGTCTTGGACATAAGAAGCAAGCTGTGTGTAGAAGGTGGGCTGATCCATCCCTACCTGGAGCTTTCCCATGTTTGGCGGGGTGTCGGGGACCAATCCTGCACTTCCTATTGATTGGGAGGTGCATCTGAAAGGCAAGGGAAAATGTCAGTCCAGGCTTCGTTGGAAAGTGGTTGGTGATTCCTGTGGAGTGGGGTGCAGGTCACGTACTGGAATTAAAGGGGTTTTTTCTGACTGTGCCGGGTTTTGAACTTTTGAGCGAATAATCTGGCGAAGCAGCTTATTTAAGCTATAATTATTTTTAAAGCCCATTAACTTGGTTCTCTTTGTGATCTCAAAACCCTTCTGAAAATTTTCACGGTTGGTCGAATGCTGGCGAGGATAAGTACAATTGCAGAATCTGTAGTGGGGTTGTTGCTTTTAGGCAGCAAGATGTTCCGTTTTTACAGAAAGGCTCCGAGGATCCATAGATGGAACTTCAAAATACCTCGAGGACAGGAATATAGAATTATTTCCAGACGTCGAAAATCGTGATAACTATCAATAGCTTCAAGGTTGAGGAATAATCTCAACTCGCGACATTACAGGATGGAAAAGTATCACTGGAGGCAGGGTTCTGATGAAAATCGAGATATGGGGTACCTTTTAACGGTTGGGACTTGCCATTTATGTGTGCGGCTAAAGCACTGTGATGTACACTGAAATATTAGGAAACTTGAAAATGGCGAGAATGAGATCTGAGCAGGAAGACTACTGTGTTAAAATTCCTACGTTACGTTGTAATGTTTGTGTGCACTAGATATGTACGGACGAAGTGCAAGTTCTTTCAATCAGGAGTGAAGTGTAGCAGAACTTGGTACGCGAAAACCCGAAAAAGTCACACCCTCAATTCTTTAATCCTCGACCTTCCACTATCCAGAATTGATTCTGCTTTCAGGGTTATTTCTTAAGAAGCGACAAGCCACTGAATCTTAGTATTCAAGAAATATTCCATCATTGATTAGTTGTTCGTTGAGAATAAAACGCATCTACGCATTTTGCGAACTTTGCCTAATGAGGGAAGGTTTGTCGGGAGACCTTTAGCTGCTATGTTTTGGCAGCGCTCGTATAAGATAAAATAGGCCCAGATTTTGCACAATTGCCATCCGTAGTAGTGTAGGGGTTGTACGTTATTCCAATTCATTCGCTAGACACACTTCCTAACAAATCCCAGAACATACTCCGCTTTCAAGAATTTCATATGATTCCGAAGAGCCGGAGAGCCCCGGGTTCGATTCCCGGCTATGGAAAATCGAAAACGATCAATTACGTGCAGTTGCCGTTCAAAAATGATCAGAAATGGTCCAAAAATCGATTTTTTTGATCAATTTTTGGAATGAAAATTCTCCCCTTTTTTTGGTGGGGGGCCCGCCGCCATGCTCAGCTCCAAACTGACTTAGGCTTACCCGTCGGCAATTCCTAGCCTATTAGGTAAGAGACCACGTTTAGTACTTTGGGAATAATAAAGGAGAAATATCTAGGGTTAGGAAAAGGTAATTCTTCAGCAACAAAATTGCGTTCAAGTTGTCATTTATATATTTTTGTTTTCAAAGATGGATAACAGGATTTCAGATAGGCTCATGAATGTCCCATTTAGATTTAGTAAACTACATCCCTGCTTGATTCGTGGTTTGAGAAAGAATAAGCTTTGAGTGTGATTCCACTCCGCCCCGCCAGATTCCGCTCGCTAGTTTTTACGAGGTTCAGCCCACGGCGGATACAGCGACGTAGCGATTTCGACCTCCATATCACCCACTGAATAATCCACTCCACCTCTTGCCCTGCAATTCATGAAGCTGGGGAGCCAACCTCGCCCATCATGAGTTACAGCAAGAAAGACGAAGATGCGGACACTGCAATCATGAGGGTGGACAGGACCTCGGTCTTCCAGGAGGGTCGGTGAACCCCTTCCCCTCTCAAAATCCAGCTAATGCCAGATAGCACGACTGTTCAACTCTTCTCCAATACAGCCTCGAAGATGTCGAGTCCTCCTTACTAAGATTGCCCTCCTCCTCTACACAGGAGAGCGGTTCCCCACCAATGAAGCCACCACCCTCTTCTTCGGAATCTCAAAGCTCTTCCAGAATAAAGATGCCAGTCTACGGCAAATGGTACACCTTATCATCAAGGAGCTAGCGCATTCGGCGGAGGATATAATTATGGTCACAAGTACAATCATGAAGGATACTGGTGGTGGAACAGATGCTATCTTCAGACCAAATGCAATTCGTGCCCTTTGCCGGATCATTGACGTGAGTATATGAATGCTCCTGGGGAGCTTGAATTGACAAGCATAGGCATCTACTGTTCAAAGCATTGAGCGCGTGATGAAGACTGCCATAGTGGACAAGAACCCGTCCGTTTCCTCGGCCGCCCTAGTATCCTCATACCACCTCCTGCCTATCGCCCGTGAAGTTGTCCGAAGATGGCAGAGCGAAACTCAAGAAGCTGCCACATCTACCAAATCATCTGGCGGATTCTCCCTTGGATTCTCGACATCAGGAAGCCAAATGCCGGTCAACAACTCGACAATGACACAATACCACGCTATTGGACTTCTTTACCAAATGAGAATGCATGATCGGATGGCTTTGGTCAAGATGGTTCAGCAATTCGGAACTGCAGGTGCGGTGAAGAGCCCAGCGGCCACAGTTATGCTTGTCAGATTAGCAGCACAGTTGGCAGAGGAGGACCCGCAACTCCGGAAGCCAATGATGCAGCTCTTGGACGGCTGGCTCCGGCACAAGAGTGAGATGGTTAACTTCGAGGCAGCAAAGGCCATATGTGATATGCGAGATGTCACTGATGCCGAAGTCACTCAAGCTATCCATGTCCTCCAGCTCTTCCTCACGTCTCCTCGGGCGGTCACCAAATTTGCTGCAATCCGAATTCTCCATAACTTTGCCTCTTTCAAACCAGCAGCCGTCAACCCCTGCAATCCAGATATCGAACTCCTCATTTCCAACTCGAACCGTTCTATTGCCACATTCGCCATCACTACTCTCCTCAAGACAGGTAACGAGGCTAGCGTGGACCGTTTGATGAAGCAGATCTCTGGTTTCATGGCCGACATTACCGATGAATTCAAGATCACAATCGTTGAAGCCATCCGAACATTATGCCTAAAGTTTCCCAGTAAGCAAGCCGGCATGCTTGCGTTCCTAAGCGGCATACTTCGTGACGAAGGTGGATATGAGTTCAAGCGTGCTGTGGTAGAGAGCATGTTTGATTTGATCAAATTTGTACCGGATTCAAAGGAGGATGCTTTGGCTCACCTCTGTGAATTTATCGAAGACTGCGAGTTTACAAAGCTTGCGGTCCGCATTCTTCACCTCCTCGGAATTGAAGGACCTAAGACGTCACAGCCGACAAAGTACATCCGGTACATCTACAACCGAGTCGTACTTGAAAATGCTATTGTTCGTGCTGCTGCAGTCACTGCTTTGGCGAAATTTGGTGTTGGCCAAAAGGATCCCGAGGTCAAGCGCAGCGTTACTGTTCTTCTCACCAGATGTTTAGATGATGTGGATGATGAAGTTCGTGACCGTGCTGCCTTGAATCTGAGACTCATGACCGAGCCAGACGAGATGGCTGACCGATTTATCAAGAATGGTGAGTCTAATTTCTTTCTTCTTTTGAAACTTAATGCTGATATACGTCCAGAAAGTACATTTGCCCTGCCGTACTTCGAGCACCAACTCGTCATGTACGTCACTGCTGACGACAAATCAACTTTTGACACCCCCTTCGACCTTGCAGCTATTCCCGTTGTCACCAAAGAGCAAGCAGATGCCGAAGATAGAACGAAGAAACTCACGACCGTCACCCCCACAATCAAGGCACCCAAGGCTGGACCAACGAAAGTCGCCCCCTCGAGCACAGAAGCTGCAGCTTCAGCTTCAGCGACTGCACAGAAATATCAACAGGAGCTACTTCGCATTCCAGAGTTCAAGCGTTATGGAAGTGTACTAAAGTCATCGCTAGTGGTAGAGTTGACGGAATCAGAAACGGAGTACGTTGTCACTGTGGTCAAGCATATCTTCAAGGAGCATATTGTCCTGCAATACGAAGTCAAGAATACGCTCCCCGATACTGTGCTCGAGGAAGTATCAGTTCTTGCCACGCCATCCGAGGAAGAGGAACTCGAAGAAGATTTCATCCTTCCAGCAGCCAAACTCATCACCGATGAACCCGGCACCATCTATGTTTCTTTCAAGAAGGTCAATGGTGAATCGTCCTTCCCCGCCAGCAGCTTCACGAACGTGCTCAAATTCTCGACGAAGGAAATTGATCCTACGACTGGTGAGCCTGAGGAGAGCGGATACGATGACGAGTATCAAGTTGAAGACCTTGAGCTTACTGGAAGCGATTATGTTATTCCTACTTTCGCTGGCAACTTCAACCACATCTGGGAGCAAGTTGGCGCTCAAGGAGAGGAGGCCGAAGAGACTTTGCAGCTCAGCAATATGAAGAGTATAGCAGGTGAGTTGAAGCTCTTTATGTCCAGGATGAGAACTAATTTATCCAGATGCCACCGAACAACTTACCAAAACTCTTTCGTTACAACCGCTTGAAGGAACCGACCTACCAATCAACACCACTACTCACACTCTCAAGCTCTTCGGGAAAACTGTTACTGGCGGCAAGGTCGCCGCCAACATCCGGATGGCCTATTCCTCAAAATCCGGTGTCACGAGTAAAATTGTTGTTCGCAGTGAAGAGGAAGGCGTCGCGGCTCTGGTGATTGGGTCACTCTCTTAAGCTTAGCGAGGTATGGAGTTGATTTAATTGAGCAAGTGTTGCATTTTGTTTGATGTTTAGATACTGGTTTCCAGGAGTGGAAACAAGGGTTTTTCAGTCTCGTTAGGAGTCAAAGAGGTTCAGAAAATTCAATCCAACTTCACCCGCTTATATACTCTTTTGTATGCACCGAACTCCCCAATTTGTCCTTTAGCTCGAGTGGGATGCACCCAGATGGCCCATTTTCTGGCCCAGCCGACTGCATGAACTGGTGGTCATGAGTCATCTTGTATTGGTTTACCACTCCATAAAACGCCATGCATGTCTCAGCTCTTGCGTCGCGCAATCTGGGAAACCCTTTCAACGAGGCTAGGGGAAATCCTCTTTTTCAATTGGATGAAGACTCTGCCAGTGTTAGCTTTTGCACGAGGGCGGGGTCATCAGTTCTTCTCTCGGTGAAGCTTTCGCTTCATTCCTATTTTGGTCGAAGCCCCGGAGTCTGCCTTGCCAGCAATATTTGTTTTTCCTTCTCAGATGAATGACAGATAGAGGTCAATGCATCCTGCTTTCTCTCTCGACGACACGATATCGTGCTTCTAGATTCTCAACTACCCCGCGTCCTCTTTGACAATTTTGGGCGAGACTCAAGGCTAGATATGAAGAGTACCTTTCTGCACCTCAGCCTTGTGAACTGACACGGCCGACAACAACCAAGATGCTAAGGCTGCACTTACAATCTGCGGAGGTGTCTACTTTGTTCGCCAGCGATGTCGCGATACGGTAGCTACACCGTCGAAACGGAGCCATCGGTAGCACCTGAACAATGGTCCAGAGAAGCTCTTTCTAGCACGGGAACCGCCGGTAACAGCCAGCTGTCAGTGGGATCAGTATGTACAACGGAGTTACCAAGAGTATGTCATTCAGTGCCTTCGACTCCGGTTTATACTGATGATCCTCGCAATGCGTAGTTCAACAACGAGGCTCAGCGAATCCTCAGAGTTCGGATTTCCCCAGACCAGGCTCTAACAAGTTCTTCGGTTTCTCTATCCGTTCACCGTTCATCTATATACACTCCTCTCGACAAACTTCGAGGACAATTCCGAGTTCTCGTTCTGAAGGAAGGTTTGTGGGATGATCCTATTGTTTGCAAGCTCGCGATTCAAAGCCTGGGTGATAATCTGCAGAATTACGCCGCACTTTCGTACACTTGTAGGTTCTTCAAATTCCATATGTTGTTTGGCCTCGTCAAGAACTTGATTTTTGAAGTATCTTGGGCTACATCCAAATAGCATTTTCTGCTCGATTTACATTCAAAGATCCCTGATTGGACTAACGCCTCGACCTTATTAGGGAATGACCCAGTGGATGCTACACAAATTGAGCGGGAAGGTCATCACTATATCAAAGTTAACCATGATAGATACTTCAAAATTAGCATCAACCTCCTACATGCTTTGGGCCACCTCCGACACCCAACAGAGCCTAAGATGATCTGGATCGACGCAATCTG